CACTGTGTAGCATTCACTGTGTAGTATTCACTGTGTAGCATTCACTGTGTAGCATTCACTGTGTAGCATTCACTGTGTAGTATTCACTGTATAGCACTCACTGTGTAGTATTCACTGTGTAGTATTCACTGTGTAGTATTCACTGTGTAGTATTCACTGTGTATTATTCACTGTGTATTATTCACTGTGTAGTATTCACTGTGTAGTATTCACTGTGTAGTATTCACTGTGTAGCATTCACTCTGTAGTATTCACTGTGTAGAATTCACTGTGTAGTATTCACTGTGTAGCACTCACTGTGTAGTATTCACTGTGTATTATTCACTGTGTAGTATTCACTGTGTATTATTCACTGTGTAGTATTCACTGTGTAGTATTCATTGTGTAGCATTCAGTGTAGCATTCACTGTGTAGCATTCACTGTGTAGTATTCACTGTGTAGCATGCACTGTGTAGTATTCACTGTATAGCACTCACTGTGTAGTATTCACTGTGTAGCATTCACTGTGTAGTATTCACTGTGTAGCATTCACTGTGTAGTATTCACTGTATAGCACTCACTGTGTAGTATTCACTGTGTAATATTCACTGTATAGCACTTACTGTGTAGTATTCACTGTGTATTATTCACTGTGTAGTATTCACTGTATAGTATTCACTGTGTAGTATTCACTGTATAGTATTCACTGTGTATTATTCACTGGGTAGTATTCACTGTGTAGCACTCACTGTGTATTATTCACTGTGTAGCATTGCAATGGCTGTTTTTCCGTACATTTACATACCTGTACTTTAAGGTATTATCATACTGGTTGGTGAAGCTCATCAAATATGATAATTACTGTCACCACTTGTTTGGAACACCAAAACAACAACAGTGTCGTTAAGTCGCTGACTGGTTTGTTATACATGTCTTGAGAATGTTACATGATTAGAATTGGTTAGTTCGAACCACTTCTATGAGAGAGCGCCGTTCAGCTAAATGCACTTATTTATAACACACACCAGATACATCATCGATTGAATCCTGACAATTTGTACTGTATCAGTCTAAAAATTTTGTTTGGATAACATTTATTATATACAAATTTATAGAATTAAATGAAATACATTGAAAGGCAAACACAATGAGATTGAGTTTGATTTCTCCGGTTTGTTTGACCCAGCTTGTTTTAATCCTGTAACGATCTCCAGGCACGCATAACAAATCAGTCAGTAACTCAGTTGGCAATGTTGCTGTTCTGGTGTTTGGAACAATATGGCGGTGACTGTAATATATGATTAGTTTACTAACTTGAGAATGCTAATTTATTGTCAGTGATGGCTTTAGATCTTGATTCATTCAATAACCTCGCCATTGCTTCTGGTGCATCCCGTATACTGGGACCTGTATTGTTAGCATGTTTTGAGCGACAACGTTGACTTTTAGTCGGGGGCCTTGTTGGTCTACGGTAGTATTCATCTGAGGAGCTGAGATCTTCATCCACATGAAGGCCTGCAATATATTGACAATCCATTATACGGTGACAGTCAAGAAATTGGATCATATTTGCTCAATTAGTAGAGATACACTTATATGTAAATGTATTTATGGTAAGCATACATAATGGCAATTGTAGGTTCATGTGTGCTACTAATAGAGCAAATATGGTTAGTAGTGTGAGCCCATGAGTGATATATAAAGTGCTCTGTAGACACTCTGCATACCTGGCTCAGCTCTGAGTAATGTCAATGGCAATGTCTGGTTATCAATTAAACTAACAATCTTCATATGTCCATTTAACAACGCCAATGACCGTGCTGTGTCACCATTATAATTCTTGGCTTCAATTTCAATTCCCTAGAAATAACAACAGATAGTTATTTTTATGCAATAGTGTTACATGATACTTTGAATTACAATCCATAGAAATGCAGTATCTTGTTAAAAGTACCGGTATGCTGTAAATGTTTTTGGTTTTCATTGGTAGCATTCACATTTTCTAAATCGATTTTCCACATACAATATTTACTGAACCATACAAAGCTATATATTTATGGAAAGCTAGATGTGAAGTCAACAAGATAATTGTGTGTGGAGGCATTTAGTCATGTGATCTCTGTGTTTACAAAAAGAAATTTCAGTAAAAAATAATTGAACCAAAAAAATAATTTAGTGGAACATTTGTAATAAAACGAATAGAACAGTATTTCCTGGTTAATGTCAAGATGCATATTTCAGTTTTGGTTTCAGTTTCACATTTAGAGACAACCAATGCTTTTTTACTGTAGACTTAAAAAGTTACATTCAAACAGAGAGACGCCATTGTAATTATTATAAACAGGATAACAGTAAGAACAGGATTTCCATAATATATGATAATTGTGTGACATTTTTACTTACATATTGAAGAAGGTTTTGAACAATAATTTCATGTCCTTCAGCCGCTGCCATCATCAAAGCAGTATTACCCACAGATGGCTCTCTATGGGAAAGACAAATATGACATATAAATAAAAAATGTATTGTCTGTAGGAAATGAAAACATGCCATATAAGTCAAACTATATATATACACCAGGGATGGAAGCAGGATGTTCTGTTTGGCCTTTACAATGACATGATTGCCACATTGTGGGATAAATTTGTATGAGTGAGGACAGTTTTAGGGGGTGATCGCCTAAACTGCCCTCTAAGTCTGCCCCTCTTTTCTATGGAAATGATAAACTTTTTAGACATGTCAAATGTAGTTTTTACAGAAATGACATTTCTGCATACACTCACCTATGGTTGGCATTGCCATCATTGTTAAGAAGAAACTTTACCATATTCTGATGGCCAGCATTTGTTGCATGGAATAATGCAGTCCAACCACGGTTATCAACAGACTCTATATCTGCACCAGCCTATTATATTGAATAAATAAACATTTCAATGGTAAATAAGAGTTACTTTTTATAAATAATAACTTTATTACACTACTGAATCAATCTGAGAGTTTTACGCTCCTAGTGTTGTAGCACAAGTACACATCAATATTGTTGAGAAAAACATATTGTTGAAATAATTAATACTTGACGACACAAGAGATGTTGTAACTCTGTCCTTAGTTCAGCCAGTTCAGAATTTAGGTGGGAAGTTATAATTATTTTATTTTTTGAGTACACATTGGTAGGAGATGATATGTATGTCTAATTTCCATGAATGATTATCAAGTTGTTTTCTCTTATTTAAGTACTTTTCAAATGCGGACATATAGCACATTTTGCCACATAAACCATGTTTGGGACTACATGACAGGGCTGGGTGACCATCTTCCTGTCATAATGGCATTTTAATGCCTTATCACAGTGTCAACCAGGCTTGGTCAAACACAGGCACTGCAGAGCATAGTTCCCACAAGGTAAAAAACCTGTTATTGAATAAATCTCATCCAAGCCATCCTAATGAGCCTTTGGCATACCTTTGGCATGACTACAATGTAACCACATAGCAACACAGTAACACATTGGTGACTACAATGTAACTAATAGCAACACAGTAACACATTGATGACTACAATGTAACCACATAGCAACACAGTAACACACTGGCGACTACAATGTAACTAATAGCAACACAGTAACACATTGGTGACTACAATGTAACCACATAGCAACACAGTAACACAATGGTGACTAAAATGTAACCACATAAGCAACATAGTAACACATTGGTGACTACTATGTAACCACACAGCAACACAGTAACACATTGGTGACTACAATTTAACCACATAGCAACACAGTTACACATTGGTGACTACAATGTAACCACACAGCAACACAGTAACACATTGGTGACAACAATTTAACCACATAGCAACACAGTAACACATTGGTGACTACAATGTAACCACACAGCAACACAT